CCTGTTTTTATAAATTGATTAGCATAACATATCTTTTTCAATCAGTCTCCAGGTGTCACCTTTATTTTACTTAAACACTTAAGTATATTTTTAAATATACATATATTTAGCCATTTCTAAAGTAAAATATCCCTAACACCTTTTCACATACACTCTCAACATCGGCTACATTGTACCGGAAATGAGATGCTTATAGAAGTACATAGAGAAATACACTAAACATTTCCTGGAAAACCGGATGACCTTCATGATGTCACAAAACACCCTTTATATATATATCACTCAACCGTATATCCATGGTGTGCAAAGTATCATGTCCTACAATACTGGAAAAATTACTATTATTATTTTTTTTTAAGTAGGGGTTGAATACTCTTTGAATACATCCACTTTACAGCCAAAAAGCTGTATGCACCTAAAACCTAAAATACAAATCCCCATTACAAATCAACAAACACAAATCTAATTTGAATGTTTGTTTGGTTGTTTTACAGCAGAGCCACATTGGGCTATCTGCTATGTTTACCAAGAGGAATCAAACCCAGATTTTAGCATAGCAAGTCTGTAGACTTACATCTGCCCTACCAAAAAACAATGTTTTAAGATCCACAATAGAAGCTTCTTCTTCTGACCATCGAACTCAGACAACTACATTAACCTCATGCAGTCAAATCCAAGCCAAACTGATGAATAAAATACCAACATTGTGTACCATCTCTGCCACTGGCTTGAAATTACACCTGGACAAAGCCACTAAAGATGCTACACTACCACAAAAAAAAAAAGAGTTTGAAAACACTTACCAGTCTTCTGAAAGTTTACATATTTCCTGACAACTACCTTGTACATCATTTCCTCTAATGTCCTCAACTCTAGTAGACCACCGACACAATTTTATAATTATACATATATATATATATTAATGCTGTTTTTCTCCCAATTCAGGTGTAAGCTTGGACACCAGTCAGGTAGACTTTTCGTTGCCTGTCTGAGATTTTCTTGACCACTCTAGCAACCCCCCCTCCCCTACAACAAATTCTTTGGCATTGGACCTAGTAATCCCTGACACAAATTCTTCAGTATTAAATCTTTCACTTATTTTCCCTTTTTTTTTACTTCAAGTATTCTATGTATACCTCTAACACAACGAGGAAATTATTTAGTTTCCAAGTGTCCGAAGTTTTCAAATCCCAAATGCTTTCCGCCATTACAATAGTGAAAATATATAGCAATATCTATGTTGAAACACATTAATTATATGATAAGTCCCAGAATAAGGAACACAATAACCCAAAAGCTGTCTGTCAGTGTTATCCTGGCAGATCATCATTGAAAGGACTAGTTATGTGGAATGAGAGAGGACTGTTTACTTAAGCTTTTAAAATGTTACTGCTACAGTGCTTCCTAAATAGCTTGAGTTCTTGTATTTTCTGTTTTAAGCTATAATAAATATTCATAAGAGAATTAATAGGTATAAGACTATGTATATAACAAATTGAATTGTTTGATATTAAATCTTATTTTGGAGTCCATCATAGAAGCTCTTATCTGTTCACTGTTTCATTTTTCTTCCAGAAAAATGTTAATTTACATTGTTTGAATTTTGGAATCTAATTTTAGCTCACAGACTTTTTTTTAGACAGGGCATCATCAGCTTTGTTGTGTACAATGGATGTTCAAATTTTTATGGCCTTTTGTCCTTGGTATAGAATTAAAACTGTTTTGAGACTTCTTTTAAAGGTAGGTATCAGAGATCAAAATATTCTTACCAGCAAACATTATAAACCACTCTTAAAATAATTGAAAAAGCCAATTCTAATAAAATTTTATGATTTATCCTAAGCACAAGAAATACAACCACAATGATGTCATGGAAAAAGTTTCATTGAGAAAAAGAATTGTTTGAAAGGAACACACACATATATATATAAATCCACTCATATGTAATGTAGATGAGAACCTGATGAAAGATTTAGCACATCAAACCCAAAATATTATTCACTACTCAACAACTTCCAAGGTCCTAAATAGGTCTGACATATCCAGCATTCACACCCTGCTGAGGAAGACACAACTTTGCTGGGCCGGCCATGTTGTTAGAATGCCAAACAACTGCCTCCCCAAATGCATCTGGTTTGGTGAACTACAGACCGGAGCATGTTCCTGTGGTGGTCAGAAGGAGCGCTACAAGGACACAAACAAGGTCACGCTAAAGGACTGCAACATCAATCCTAATACTTGGAAAACTCTTGCCCAAGACTGCCCAGCCTGGAGAAATGCTGACACAAAGAGAGAAGCATCATATGAACAACATCTCATCCTGACAGCCCAGAACAAGCGTGCAGCATGTAAAGCAATAGGAAGCAACAACCAGAAGCCATCAGCCCCCCCTGCTGTATTGCCCTTATTGCGACAGACATTTTTAAGTCAGGATCAGGCTAATCAGTCACATCCGAACACACAAAATCAATAGATGATGATGAAAATGGCCCTCTTCAATTATGAAGGACTCAACATGTAATATGCTTAAACAAAACTTATGTGACAACTAGACCTATAATAAAACAATAGTACCTTTGAAGTAACATCTGGATTGTGGTCATTTTGAAGAAGTACATCAGCTGCCTTGCAGTCATCTTTTTTGGCAGCGATATGGAGAGCTGGAAGTCGAACTCTTCCCTTGGCATCATTCTCTAGCAAAATGGTCACTACTTTGTCATGACTTTGTTGAAGGGCTACTGCAAGGGGTGTAAAACCATCCTAAAACAGATAAAATACTTTATCTTATCTGAATATACAAGAGAACAATAAAAAATACACTATTAAAACAGTTAAAATATATATAAGACTATTTCTTATATACATCTTTCTTTTGCGAAACAAAAAAAAATTCTAAAGAAAATTAAGAATTAAGAATCAATATTTAAGTTAATAAGTTAGATTTGTCATAATTATAATTAGCAACTGTCTTAATTCAACTTAAAATACTTGAATGACTTTTGTGTTCTACATTCAAGTCACTGATGTGTAATATTTGAATATCTATAAATTACTTTGTTTGAATACCTCATTTTCCATATATTATATGTATCATCACATTACTGAACAACAACTTTAAAATAATGAACACAAAAAAAGAATACATTTTATATTTTAAATATCATTTCTATATTTATGAAAATGCCGTGATAAAAAATGAGAATTATTACTTTATTTTTCAATAAATGCATTTTACATGTATTATTTTCAATTATACATATTTTTAAAATTTTTATTTAAACACTTAATATGCGACTGAAAGAATAAATACATACAACTATTATGAATTATATAAATCTTCATATTAGCAAAGACACAGCTTTAATGAATTTCACAGCAAATCATAATTTTATGACATACATACATACAAGGTAACTTCACTGAAACTGCAGCTGTTTTATAAAAATTTTGATTTTAAACTATGAATTATTTATTATAAGCCACATACATAATACATATATACACACATTATAACGTACAATATAAATCTAAACTATATATTTTAAGGCAATAAAAAATCATCAGAGCATAAAACACTGTACAAGAACTATTACAGAAGAATAAAAATACAAATAAAAGCACTTTTTAAAAACATTTTTGTAAATATAAGATAAAATTTTATAGTTTAGAGGCTGATAATCTCACATATTTGTCTCACAAACATACTCTGTGTACTTTAACATCCTTCTTTCTAATCATATGATGTCAACAGTCATCAGAATAAGCTCTGGTAAGGAAATATGTACGTTTTTCTTATTCAAGTAACATTATAATTTCCCCTACCTTCTTGTACAGGAGTTGTGGTGAATCATACATATAGAATTGTTCTCAGTTTCACACTTTAATTTTGTAACTGCTGTAATTCATCCACATACACTAATAATTCATTCAGCTTGTTCAGTAAAAAAAGAAAAAAAACAGCTGCAGTTCATCATAAGAGAACAACTACAGATTTTCTCACCTCTGTTGCAAGGCTTTGATTAGCTCCATTGGCCAGTAAGAAGCGAACAACACTATCATGGTTTTCCTGTGCAGCCATGTATAGGGGAGTGAAGCCATTTTGGGACTGAACATTAACATTAGCACCACTCTGAATTAAAATTTTTACCACTGCTTCCTGACCTGCTAAGCAGGCAATATGTAAAGCTGTATTTCCTTTCTGTTGGAAATAAAAAATAGGAAAATGGTGTAATTAAAGACTCATTTACATAAACAGTATACAGAATAGGGGGTAAGAAAACACAAGATATGGAGGTAGCTTTAGTAATGTTTCACAATCCAATTAATTTACATAATATTTAGGTACATACCCATCTTGCATAAAGGCATACAAGCATGCAAGGGCTCTCTAGGAATTTATGATCATGATTTCAAGATTCTCTTTAATGAATAAAACTATATTAATATTTATTTGATCCTCATAAACCAAACTGTATGGTAAAAAGAGTTCCAAATGAAAAACATTCAATGGTAAGATGCCTCAAAACCTTTGTAGCGACTTTATTGGATCCATTAGTTCCAAGAAAAGCGTCATCTAAAAATACAGTAAATGCCACTCTATGATATTACATTATTTAATCACTCTCTCTCTATATATAATTACCTTACTTGGTATTTTAAAAATAGCTGCCATATATATATGCATATTTGTGAAATGTTTATTATCTTATAAAGGAACAACATCATCTCCCAATTAAAAAACAAATATAATAATTTGTTTACAGATATATACAGCTGATTGCATACAGGAATGAATTAAAACAATTCTTACACAAAAATAAACAGAATGGATGGTGTGTCCTTTTCATCTCATTACATACAGTCTCATTTAATGACACTGAAAAGGCTTATGAAAGATAAACTTTGCATCAGAAATACATTTTAATTGCAGAACTTCTGAATAATTTCACAGATTTTCAAAAACATTATTAGTATATCTTTTAAATGCATATTGTTATGCTTTACATTAACACTGAATGATAAAACATGGATGTATAAATTAAAACATAGATGTATAAACTATTTCTTTGTGAGAATAATTTCAGCATTAATGTTTGGTGAATATTTTTATATTCATGTTACCCAATTTAGTCAGTATAAGTCATTATTTTGATGTAGTATTTGTTTGATTCAAGAGTTAGTCTAGGCACTAAATTGTTCTCCAAGTTTAATAAAAAAAAAACCTTCAGCAAAACCTCTTGTAAACATAAATTTAAGGCATTAACTCTTTCTTGGCAGGGTCGTCTATTTTACACGACCTGATACGAGTGCAATAAACATGCTGTAACTCTGAGATTTCTTAACGTACCCTTACAGAATCTGGTAAGATTTTGTTAAAGATTATGTGTATCTTGTACACAAAGAATGACATTATTTTAATTAAGTATTTATACTAAAAATACGTTATTTATTTATTTCAGTTATTTGCACTCAAACTCTTAGAAGTTTGTGTGCAAGGTGATTTTAATTTTAAGTATCAAAATATTTTTATTCATCTTACACTTCAAGTTATATTTACATAACCTCTAGAACTTCCTCAATTTTTAAGGTAAACATTTATATTATGTTTTTCATTTCCTCTACCATATCACTAACTGTATCCTCAACATACAGTGCAATGAAATGTTTAACAGTTAAGAAACAGAAAAAATATACATACCTTTTAATTTTTCAAAGAATATCTTAAAATATCTTTTAATTATAATTAAAATTCAGGTCATTTTTTTCTCACATATAGTTAATTTTTAATGTTTTATTTTCCTTTCCTGTCTTTTACCTTTTATTACTCATCTCAGCACAAGTCAACGGTGCCCTAAGGGCATAATTAGAATATCTTAAGTAGAGATGCACAACTCTTCAGCATAATTATCTTACTCTTGCACAAGAGCTTAAGCCTTGAGAACTGATGCAAAGTGTGATATATATATATTTTTAAAATATTTAAACCTTTCAATTATACATTTTAAAACAATTAACTAAGATATAAAAGTAAGACCTAAATATAATTTGAATGTCTATCTAACTATAACATATTTAGCTGAGAAAAACTGTAAGAGCTATTGTGGATAAAGCAGCCAACAATACTATAGGCAGTTCCATCTACCAGGTGACGAGAACTGAATGCCAATTTCAGAATAAGTGTTGTTGGATTATAGTGTAAAATGAGTTCTTTCTTATAACTATATACATGTGTATGTAGCATCAATAAGTATTTCATAAGGCTCAAGCAAAAGTATAGAAGGTGGGCATAGCACCAATCAGGGATTGACAAAATTTATTACTTGTTTCTACTACTTTCAGTCAGAGAAACTTGAAAGTTGCATGTCAATAGAGCAACCATATGTACTTATTGTCTAGTTGTTCATTTACGTGACTGGCATTATCTTAAAACAAAACTGAGAGTGCAAAAGTTGGGATTTTTTATACTCGTGGGTAATGTGACAAGAAAACTTGAAGTTTTAAGTATTTTTCTTAAAGGTTTCTTTTGAAATAAAGGAATCAAAAGTTATATAACATAAAACTTTGATTCATAACATACACTATAAAGGTGTTTAACTAAATTTTTAATGTAACTCAGTGACTTGTGCAGAAAAGTGTTTAAAAGGGTACTCTGGGTGGAAGAGTTAACCCTCCCATACATCTGAACTTTAAACCCCTGACTAACTCTACAATGTTTTTTCTCAATAAGATAAATCAAATATACATTATGTTATTTATTTCCTGCAACCTAAACTTAGTGGAATTACCAACATACAGTGACAAGGATAATCAAAGTGCAGTAAACTATGTAACATGACTAATGTATGTTAATTGTAATTAGAAAAGAACTTAACAGAAAAACGAATGAAGATCCTTCAAAGAAGGTATCTGGTAATGAATACGAGCTGAGCTGTCCATCTATGTGATCTTTAAAATCAAACTACTAATATATCTTCATCTTAATGGAAGAAGTGAATTTATATTCCCAAGTGTTCAGAGGACCTTCAGAACAAAGTCTTAGGACTTTATGACACTTTTAATTTTATAAGGCACAATATCATTATTGACTACTACAGCTCTTCATCATAGACTAATAAGCATTCAAAATACAAGGATAACTAAGTGTTATTGAGTTTATTTCTGTTTAAGAATACTTGCACAAAACTACACAAGGGCTAACTATACATAGCCATCACAAATTTCAATCAATAAATGAGAGAAAAGGCATCTAATCAACAGCACCCACCATCAATACTTGAACTACTCTTATTTGACTAATTGGTGGGATTTGACCATCACTCTTATAGTGCACCCACAGCTCTCAAAGTGAGAAGTATATTTCTGTGGCAATGAGCCATGAACTGTTGGATTCAAAGTCTGAGTATGCTAACTAGTAGGCCATCCCTGGCCCCCAATGCATGTAAAATGTAAGGTATAAAAGCAAGTCTGTAAACTGTGTTATGAAACTTAACAGCAGTTATATTTAAAAAAATCAAAGATCCCATGAAATAACAAACCCAAGCCAACAACTGGCTTAGAACTACTGGCTACAAGTTACATTATCTCTACTTGACCCAACTGGTCAATAAAAGAGGAAATTATGCAAAGGAAATGCAGATGTCTTTAAGTGTAAGAATCTGCTTGCTGTATTAACATTTATACATTTCTAGTCTTACTTTGTAAAAAAGAATGCACAAAGCTGAGTAAGGGTTAGAAATTTAGAATTAGTGTGAAGATATACAGTATTTCAGCTGTTGTCAAAGTTACCATATGAAATAATACATTTATTTTCCTATAATAAGATAAAGTACTGAATTGTCATACATGCTTTTGTTATTTGGGATAAAATGAAACTTAAACTTAAAAAACAAACAAAAAATATATGTGATAGTTTTTAACCTACAAGACATTTATCAGTCTGAAATATATTATTCAACAAGTTTAAACAGAATAAGCTACTTTCAGGCACATTTGAGCTGATCCTACAAGTTGTTGAAATATAAAAAAATTACAACCTTTTCCTGAAAATGGATTATAAAACAGTAACTGCTGATAATTTGGTACTTATTTGGATAGGGTGAGATGATTTTGGACAATATCCATGATGTAATGAAAATCCAGCCACACTATCAAACACAGACATCCTCATATTTAAAACATCTAATATGCAGAGAGAAAAACATCAATAAACTGAATAAACATTTTAAGTGTTTTTGAAATACAGTTTACCTTGACATAAAGAGAGAGACTTTGCTTTGAGGAGCAAGGCCACTTTTGAGTGTCTCTCTTCTTTATTCAAAGTACATTTAGTAAGAGAAACTCCTCAAAAGTAACAAAAGCACAAAACTTTACTGAAAAGTATTTGAAAACTGGTACATAGCAACTGTGTTTAGACAGAAGTTTTACAATATTATATTAAAATCAATTAACAAACCTTTGTAGAAGCATTTACATTGGCTCCTCTCTTTAACAACTCACTAACAATATTCACATGACCTTCTTTAGAAGCAAGATGCAAGGCATTCAACCCATTCTGTTCAATAATGAAAAAAAGATAATTAAACAAATACAACAGTAACAGTTCAATAATAATGATTTTCTTAATATTTGATAATAACTTACATATCATTGTTATACTAGACACACTTTAATATCACTCAGCAGGATTGGTTACATGAACAGAATAGTAAATATTTTGAGTATAATTGGACTTGACAGTAACAGCCATCATGACAGTCTAAATATGATTACAACAGAATTCATTTCATAATATAGATACAATATTCCCACCATTTATAATATAAATAAAATATTACACATTAGACAATATTAAACATTGTTCTTTAACCTATGATCTCTGTAACTGTATTACACCACAGTTAACTTTATAATATAAATACAATACTAGATATTGTTCCTTAACCTATCTCACTAACTATATTAAACCACAGTTAACTTTATAATATAAATACAATATTACACATTGTTCTTTAACCTATCATCCTAACTATACTAAACTACAGTTAACTTCACAATATAAAAACAATATCATATATTGTTCCTTAACCTAACTCCTTAATTGTATTAGTATTAATCATAGTTGACTTCACAATATAAATACATTATACAATACTCCTTAACCTATATTTGTAACCTTATATGTATATTTTAGCTGTTTAACAAGATTAGTGAAGCCACCATCACTAATAATTATTTACTCTTATAACAGATTGTAATGATACTACATTTTACAATAAGGAGTCATATGTAGTCAAACAGGTTTCCACCAGTAACATCATTTTTAAAGTTCAATATTCTATAATCTTACTTCAATATCAAAGTGTTTTTATGTTTCACTATATTGCATATTTTTTATTTAGATCTTACTGTTAAAAAAAGTGGATTTCTTTTTCAATCTCTCCAATTCACTATTTTTTCATTTTGAATACGAAAATAACAAAAGAATTGAGGTAAACAAGATAATTGTACATTTCACAAATACCTCATTTATACACAACGATGGTTTCACAAGTAAAGGCATCATCAGGTACAGACTGCCTTTACTGATTAAACCATGGTCATGAGTAAATGATGTATTTGTGAAATGTAAAATTGTCTTGTTTTTTCTCAATTCTGTAATTATGGAGTTTCACCAAATACCAATGGTTTCCACTATTATACAAAAATAATAATTTTATGAGCATAATAACCAGACTATTCAACTTACAGCATTACTGGCGTTGATGTCAGTGCTTCCTTTCAAATACTCTAGCACTTTTTCTACATTTCCTGACCTAGCAGCTCTCAAAAAGCTTGCACTGCTATCAGCCTGAAAAAAAAAGCAATGAAGGAAAAGGGATTAAGATTTAAAAAAATAATTATAGAACATAATTAATTATTCTTCAAAAATATTTCACTACTTAAAATTCATTGGTTGCCAGTTCCACTGTTAAGTGTTCTCAGTCACCAAAATAACCCAGTGATAATCTAATACAAGGTATTAACAAAGCTCAAACCCCATCATTTTATATAAAAGCTAAGGTGCCATTTGCACTACATTGTTTATACATTTTTTCAAGAAAAAATTAATGGGTTATCACAAAAAACTAGGTATCAGCAAAATTATTACAGTTTAGTATTTTAGAAATAACAGAAAAATAGATCCGAGTTCAGAACTAGTCCTTGTCTACTTGTAGGTTTCATAATATTATAGCTGTTTCTGGTAACTGATAAACATTTGAGTGTCACTCTATCTACTTGTAGGTTTCTTAATGTTACAGCTGTTTCAGGTAACTAATACTTGAGTGTCACTGTGCCTATTTATAAGTTTCTTACTATTACAACTATTTCAGGTAACAGATACTTGAGTGTCACTGTGCCTACTTATAGGTTTCTTAACATTACAACTGCTTCAGGTAACTGATATTTGAGTGTCACTGCGTCTACTTATAGGTTTCTTAACACTACAACTGTTTCAGGTAACAGATATTTGAGTGTCACTGTGTCTACTTATAGGTTTCTTAACATTACAACTGCTTCAGGTAACTGATATTTGAATGTCACTGTATCTACTTATAGGTTTCTTAACATTACAACTGTGTCAGGTAACAGATATTTGAATGTCACTGTATCTACTTATAGGTTTCTTAACATTACAACTGTGTCAGGTAAATGATATTTGAGTGTCACTGTTAATTTTACAAGTTTTTCAAAAAAGTAATTTTATAAAATGTTATATGTATTCAGTACAAGTTATTAAAATGTGAGATTATAATTCATAAGGTTGAACAATACTGTTATAAGAATTTCATGTATAATATACAGTGGTGAGCTTTTTTAAAACACTAGCAATATCAACCTAAAAAATGAAAATCAGTAACAGTAATATTTTAATAGCAAACTCACTGATTAAGCTACAACCAAATAATACAACTAACAACTTCATTAATCTTTCATAATCAATTTATTACACGAGACTTTTTTTTTAGTCTTTTACATTTTGTATTGTCTTTGAATGAATTATTGGCATGTCCTTGCCAGATGTTGTAGGTCACCTATAAGTATCATGTATACCTTCCGTTTGGTTACAACTCCTTCAGAAATTCTACTATCAAAACTAATACAATTACTCATACACAATGTCACATGCCACTACAAGCATTCATACCTTCTGAGCCAAGTAACCACAAACATCCACGCTCTCAGAAAATGTAGCTTCAGATATTCAAATTCTCTGGAATATGTAACTATAAGTGACACACAGAACAACGAGTATTCAAATATACTGGTCCATCTAACTACAGATCCTGGTCCATGTAATTAGAGATATACAGAGTGACACATATAACTACAGGTATGCAAACACAATGGTTCATCTAACTACAGACATTGATAGATCCTGGTCCATGTAACTACAGATATACAAAGTGACACATATAACTACAGGTATTCAAACACACTGGTTCATCTAACTACAGACATTAATAGATCCTGGTCCATGTAACTACAGATATACAAAGTGACACATATAACTACAGGTATTCAAACGCAATGGTTCATCTAACTACAGACATTAATAGATCCTGGTCCATGTAACTACAGATATACAAAGTGACACATATAACTACAGGTATTCAAACACACTGGTTCATCTAACTACAGATGTTCATAGTCTCTAAAGTCTAAGTACACACAATCACACATTCTAAAATATATATAACTATAAACATTCACACTCTCTGGCACATGTAACAGTAGTATTCTTGCTGAACTGTTGAAGGTAAATTACACATTAGAAAAACTTGTTACCTACACACACACACACACACACACACTAGACTATGAAAGCACAGTCTTCAAACTATAATTACCAACAAATAACTCACCTGTCCTATAGTTAAAGTCATTCACACAAAAACACATTCTCCCCTTTTATGAACCGACCTTGATAATGGTTTTGAAATCACTCCTGTGTGGACTCTCTTCTGATTTACAAACCTGTTCAAAGTTCATAGTTTCAGTTTCACCAGGATAGCCATGATCAGCCTTTAGTACTAAAATTTTGAACAATGCAAACACTAAAATCACCAGGAACACTCCTAATACCAGGATCATTATTTACAAAGGTATTGGTGTTTGTTTTTGGAAAATATACCAAAAATAAAATCAGGCTAAGCCAACAATTCGAACCATCAATAACACTTATTAAAAAGGTTTTTACAGTATACAGGTTTATTATACCCTATACTCTTGAAACAGAGAGAATAATAAATAAACTGATAAGATAACTACTATCCTTACACAAACCAATGTAATCAAGTATATACATTTCAACAAAGCAGTGAACTTGCTGCATCTTAATATTATGTTATGGGAACAGTCTGATCCTACATTAACCTTGAACCAGAGACTCTCTATACAATCCCAGCCAATGAACAGCTAGAAAGATATAAATATAGTGCTGGAACTGTAGGATGTAAATGAAATATTATACTGGCATGGGCAGTGAAAAGATCCTTCATCAAATAGGTATAGTGTAGTTTTTTCTTCTACAATAAGCTTGATGATTGTATTGCAATGATTAGAATTAATGATTAACGATGAAGAAAATTTTTTAATTTAGTGTTTTTGCAATTGTTTATACATTTCAAAGATATGATGTCTAATTTTTATTTTATTTTTTAATGTAAACAGAATAGTGTATATAAAACACAATTCAGCAGTTCAGTTCAAATATTTCTGCTAACTGCCTAACAAAATAATTACACACACACACACACACATATATATATATTTTTCACTTTCAGATTCAAATCGTTCCTCCCTAAACATTTTAATTTGTAGATGAAATAAGTTCCTAATAACTTTTATTTCTCCTGAGATACTGCCAATCATCTTAAGTGTGTTAATTTGTTTTACTTTTCCAAACACGAGAAGATATCTTGTCACAGAATGGTACAAACATAAGTTTCTGCAAGAGGAACTGCATGCACACACTTAACACCTACCTAATTCTGCTACAAACTGACTCACAATGCTTGACTAGAGCTGGCCTTCTAGAATGTCCATCTCAAAATAACTCTGAGGTAATACATGCACTTGCACAATTTTAGGGAATAACCAATAATTTTTTTTGTATACAAAGTTAGACAGTATATTGTGTAATTTACTATGATTTTCTCTTTCCATTATCCTCTATTCACTTTTACCAGTACTCATCATTTGATTTTAAATAAACACACACATAAATAAGATGCATGAAAGGCTTTTAATACAATTCTAGTTAATAAACAGCTAGAAACATGTAAAAACAAGAATTATAGATCAAACTGAAAGTCAAGATATGAGCATACCAATTTATATCCTTAATCACCATTTTTTTTGGGGGGGGGAGTAAATTACTGTCACTTTATCCTTATTAGTTATGCAGTAAACACAACTTAGTGTTATTTATTTTAAAGGTTAGGTCAACACATAGATGTAAAAATTTATTTAATGTTAATTACATTATTTCCAACTTGTTTACTGCATAATACTCAATGAGTTATTATTGGTTATGGTTTATGTATTGATTATTGATTTTATTTCATGTATTATTGAAAAGAAAAGATAACCTAGTGCCTAATTCTTGTAATAAAAATTACCTAATTAAGCAGTTTATCTGATTTATTTATGTTTCTCCATTATGACTACTGCCTCAAAATTTGTCAAAAATATATATATGTTGAACTATAATATTACACGAAATTTGGTCTATTACTAACTCAACACTGAGTTTTCTTCAAACTGTCAACAAATGTTTCCATAAAAGGAGAAATTAACCAAGAAAAAAAAATGTATATCTTTATAACAGTTTGCTCATATTTAAGTGCAAAGCCACGCAGCCGACTATCTTCACTGTAAAACTGGTATCAAACCTAAAATTAAACCGCTTGCCTAACATGTGCGAAATTTGCTACTACCTATACAAGCAATTCTATCAGTATTACCTTCAAAGGTTTTCCTAAAGAAATTTAGACGCCCCTAACTTTAGTTGTTGCTATTAATAGAAGTCACTTGACTTAAATTGGAAAATTTGAACCCACAATGATTTCATTCTGTGTTCTTGACCAAATTATAGTTGCCGATTTAGGCACGATTGATTGATGAAAGCCATAAAAGCCGTGAAGTCAAGCTAGAACAATATGGAGTAGACGGGAGGGGGAGGGGATCAACAGCGTTTTATGTTCGTGGTGTTTCTTAACGTTTGATTATCAAGCTGAATGTTCTAGTTGTTATTTTAATCCGGTAGTGATTATTTTTAATTTAAACTGTCCTATAAGTTTAGTCTAGCATAACGTCGGTTTAAAGAAGTTTCGTTGGACTGCATCAAGCGTAGTTTCCTTTCTATAAGTGGCTGTTTCAAATTTCAAAGTTTTTCTAGGATGTTCAGTTATTTGTAACGTAAGTGAATTTACGTATTTTTAATATTTCAAAGGTAATATACATAAATTAATATAATTAGAACACGTGCAATCATTCCTAAAAAAAAGTTCAGTTTTTCTCGAGAAATTGTTTTGTTTTTACCTCAATCCCCTCTATCAAACTTTTTGACAGTATAAACGTTACGTACTACTACGTTCAAACAGGAGTAGACGCTTAAGTATGAACGCTTAAGTAGTACAGGCCCTTTAGTAGTGACATAAAGTGTGATCTATATGGAAGTAAAGGTTGGAAAACAAACTTTTTTTCGAAGAAAACTAAACGTTTTCTTATAAACTAGTGCGTGTATGTGGACGATGTGACATGCTTATACAAACCTCCGGATATTTTTAAATATCAGTTCCGCAA